CTTTACCCACTACGAGCGTTTTCAGATAGGTAAGATTTTCATCGTCACTGAGTATGGCTGAATCGACCGTCGATATGAACTGCCCCAACCACTCATGCCAATTAAGTGGGTTGCCATCGAAATGCCTCAGCTTCCGCTCAGGGAGATGATTTTTTCGGCTGTGCATGAGTATATTTACCAACTCTCGGGTCGAAAGTGGACGCTCGACGTCTGCACCAGGTGAATCACCGGGAGTTGGCTCTGTGTAACTCGAAGAGATACCGTAACAATCAGGAACGAACGGTTGATTAGCATGTGAAGAAATTTCAGGCTGTGCAAAGAACACAGTCCCTCCACTTGTATAAGGAACAAAATTTTTCGTAGGAACAATCGGAGTTACTGCGGAAAAAACAGTTGTCGAAGGAACGTAGTGTTGTTGAGCTGACATTAAAGGGGCAGCAACAGCTGGTCTCCAAAAGTTACTATAATGATTCTAGTGGCCACTTGAAAAGTTATAACTACTAACGGGAACACCCATATGTTGTTGTGATGGGATTACAGGTGCTTGATGGCCAGCTACTACTGATCCTGTAGTTTGATGACTTAAAGAAACCTGATTAATTGCTGTTGATGCAGGAACGAACGGTGCTACACCAGAAGAAACTTCTGCAGATGTTGGTGGAGCAGAATAGTTTTCAGAAGTTACCGGGACTACTGACCCTGTGTTTGGATTGCCTAGCACCGGATGAGTGGACAGAAAAGTTTGCTGAGGAAAATTATTAGAAACAGGTTGAATGACCTGCTGTAACCCTACTGGATTGTTAACGGAAACCTGCGATCGGACCAAGTTCGACAAATTATGTTGTTGTCCGCGAATGTGGTTACTGTAATACAATCCCGGATCACTGGAAGCTGCCTGGCCATTATTCACTCCTGTAAAACTTGATGAGACCAAGTAATTTGTTGATGCAGGATAAATTGCCTCAGGAGCTGTTGAACGAACTTGCTGCTCTTGATTGGGAACTACAACAGCATCAGGCTGATTGTGGTCGACAGATTCGACCCAGTGACGCGTACGATCCTTTTCGTCTATTGTTAGTTGTGGAGAGATTCGAGTTACACCACTTTCCTCAGCATTCTCGCTGATTTCCGACAACTCATCTTCTAACTCAAGCCCTTTCAACTCAATTTCTGCCAGTTTTTTCCTGTGTTCTTCAGCCAGTTCTTCGAACTCTAAACTGTTTTGTTGTTCTAAAAAATTTTGTTTCATCTTGTTTTGCTGCTCTTTCAGTCTTAATGATACCTTTGCCTGCCTCTCAAGCTCATCTTGTTGTTTCTTTAAAACCATTAAATCGCGCTTTTTCTCAGAAAGTGTTTTCGACGGAGCGGCGGTATAACTGGATTTCTGAGAACCCTATTGCTGATGTCGTCTGCTTCGATGAGACAACTTAGAGCGGGTATCTGTTTTATGCGACCGGGGTTTTTCACTTTTTTCAGAATGATGAGAAACTTTTGAGCTGCTATCTACTTTGTCCGGCTCTGTTACTGCCTCAAAACTTGTTTTATATGTGATAGCTTCCTGCAGAACTTTATCGTTGCTTTAAGTCAAGTTATGAAGCCACATATCCTGTGCCGGTATCAATTCGTCGGGATTGGCACTTTTTGCAGCCATATAAATCAACTCATTATTTATCTCGACCGCTTGTTCTATATAGTTCCTACAATTTATCAGTATCATAAGTATCAATAGTATTTTATAGATTTTAGTATTTTATATCAAGTATTTTATAAGTATCAATTTTTGAGCAACGACTCTGATTCTCTATGTATTCTAAAATTTCTTCGTGGCATTTATAAAGTTCGTAAGTTCGTTTTCGAGATTGCTATGTTTCTCAAACAACTTCTTAATTTTCTTCTGAAACTTAACTTCCATGCTTAATAATTTCAGAAATAAACGACTCTCAAAAAATACTTTATTTTCACTCAAGTAAATCCACAAAATGCTCTAATACAGCAATAACTTACAAGGGGGAGTAACTTGAAGTTTTAACGCTTTGAGTCTGTTGTGAATCGCTCTACGATTTTTAGGCGACAAACGGTTCCGCTTCTTCTTAGCTTTCAGTGTACTTGGGTCAGCACTGTATCGTCTAAGTAACAACAGAGTCTTCGACTCAAGGGAAGGGGGCTGGTGCAGCTCTTTATACTTTTCGATAAGTATTTGGTCTTTGGCCTTTCGCTTTGAGATAAAATCCTCAACTATGTTAAAAACGAGAATACCTGTCTTTTTCAACTCTTTTTCTATGTTGTCTGTACCGTTGCGGCGACAGTATACAATAGCGGTAATATTCTCCTTGTATCTCAAAAGAAGGCTCTTAAGTTGGTCAGTACTCAAACTACGGTTGTTGTTACTGCGGTGCTTACTAATGGAGTTATTTATGGCGTCGTGCCAAATAACTAGATCTTTCCGATTCGACAAAAAGTAGTGCAGATAGAAATGGATAGTTTTCTGCGAGTCACTGGCGTTAAAGTTGAAGCTTAAACCGGGCTTTGTGAAACAAGTCTCTTTCACGCGCTTTTGAGACGGTGCGGATAGTATACGGAGCGCGTGATCCAAGGAACTAGCTCCTAGTATGAATACCATACACTTAAGAGACCTATGCGACGGCTACGTTACGCTTAAGTACCAATGGGGTGGGGAAATTAAGTAGGTCGGTTGAACTCCAACAACGCACACGGAGTAAACCTGAGGAAGAAAGAATTCAACTTAGCTCACTTAATATCACCGTACCTGACCACTTAACATTGGTGTCGCATAACGAAGTCAATAATCGGACGGGCTGAAACGGCTTAGATTTACTTGAAGCGAACTTGCTTTTAGTTTCACCAATGGTGAGTGGGGGATCAGGCAAATTGGTTAAGTTCCAACAACACACGCGGAAAATACCTGAGGATGAAAAAACTCAACTTAATTTGCCTGATACTTCGCTACCAGACCACTTACCATAAGGTTGGTGTCATGTTACAGCACAGTTTGCAGAATTCTGGGGACGTTTTGAGGATTTTTTGGCGTTTTTTTACTTTTTTCTAAAAATTTTTGGAAAATTTTGGTCAGCAGGTTCGAGTCGTAAACCAACCCAAAAACTAGTCCAGTACCTTTTGTCTATGATCCGATTTCACGGATTAATATTCTGTTCACAAATATCCAAAAAATTTTGGCATCGAGAAAAAATTACCACTTGTAGCTTGCTTTGAGTTGGGATAAACAATAACACATCGTACGTAATTTTATTGCAAAGAATGGTTTGTAAAGATTAGACTAGTCTTACAGTTTTTGACAATTTTGGAGATTTTCGGTACCGGAAATTTCTCTCTCGTGAGCCTACCAGCTACACTCACAATCAATCAACTACACTCTGATCACGTGAGCCAACTGCACTCTGCTGAACTAACTGCACAACTTCTTTCTGTATCGGCCAACTTCACGCTCTTTCGGCCAACAGCACAACTTCACTCTTTTTCGGCTTTCGGCCAACAGCACAACTTCATTCGGCTCTTTTACGAGTGGTTTTACGAGGTTGAGTATGAAGACCAAATATGTTTGTCGTGGCCATATTAGTCGGTATGTAAATTTGGCTCTTTTCCAGTTCCCCCCTTTCAAAATACCGAGTTTTATGTTTGTTTTACTTATTATTACGTCTAAATGCGTGATGTTACTCTGTATTGTATGAAGAAAAAATCTGTTCACAGTTGTCGATTTGTTCACCACGCCAAATTTCATTGCATTATAACAACGTTAAATAAGCTTTTCAAAATTGAATTTGAAAGGGGGGGAACTGGAAAAGAGCCGTAAATTTTCATAACAATCCAATAAAGTGGTCAACAAATTCGCAGGTGGGGAGAAAAGAAAAAAGAGCCCTTCACTCAGTTTCGGCCAACTTCACGCTCTTTTGGCTTTCGTACAACTCGAGACAATTTTTTGCCGGCTATTCTGCCAACTGAACAACTCTGCCAACTGCACCCGTGTCGAGGAAATTGTCCGAGAAAGAACTCTGCCAACTGCACCCGTGTCGGGGAAATTGTCCGAGAAACAACTCTGCGAACTGTAAACTCTATTGGCGGAATGCCAACTCTAACTGCCAACTGGGACAACTGCGAACTCAATTTGCACTCGTGTCGGGGAAATTGTCGTGTCCCTTGTGGGGCGCCAAAATGTGCGCGTCAATCTCCATAATTCCAAAAGAAACGGTTTTTAATCACTTGAATTAACGAGCATTTTATCGGGAAAATAACTCCGGAATTTTGAAAATATAACGATAATTTTTAACAAATTTTATCATCGGTAACATCGGCCACAAAAAAAACTGCATAACTCAAAGCAAGCTGCAAAAATGGCCAGTATTTGTCCTTGAGACAAATTGCTCTTTTTAGAGCGAAAAGACGGTTTAAATAGTTTTTTTGTGGGGGTTTCAACCTGGTTACGGAACATCCCATCAAGTTCGGGGTATATTTGAGTTCTAGAAAGGAAATGACCTAGTCGGGATTCGAACCGGCGCCAAACCTGCCGGGACGCACCCTGTATAAGCTTGGCCACTGTCCCTATATGCATTTACATTTTGGTTCAGTTTTATGCATTTATACTCTCGCACATTTGCGTTTATATTTGCGCTGCAACATTAACTATAAATTAGTTTGAATTTTAAAGAGATTTAGGATGATGCGTTTTGTTAGTGAAAAAAAAATCGATTAAAAAACGGGAAAAAAATGTTTCTTTTCCTGATTTGGCTTTCGTTATGTTTTTCTAGGTAGCCAGAAGTTCATCAATGCTTATCAAACTTTTTGTTAGCTATGTTTTTTTTCAGTTCATGAAACTCTTTTCAGATTGGCTGCTCAGCCTTCAACCTTCGCCGTTAAGCTTTTAATCTAAATTATTCCTTGAGTTCAATGCTCTGTGTCTCATTTAGATTTGCTTTAGTTTAACATATCAATTATATATTTTTCATTCATCGTTCCATTCTGCTTAGATCTGGGATAGTTTCAACCGCCCTTTCATCTGATGACCTAGGTGACGATATATTCACAGATGACGTCGGATGCGCTAATCAGACGTCACAAAGTAGAAAATTCGAACGGAAAGGGGACATAAATTTCCGTATCTATGTGGAAATTAGTAACCGCTCCACGGCTATATCAGGTAATGCAATCCAAGATCTAGCTACCGCTAACACAGGAAGCTTTCCCACTGCAATTTCGAATTCACCCAGCTGGAAGCAATATAATTGGAAAAGTTCTGGTACCAGTAGTGATGCTAGTTCGAAAGTTTCGCCATCTTCAAATAAAGCTTTGAAAGAAAGTGGAAAACATATCGCATCGAAGAAATTTTGCGAGTTGTGCAAAAAGAGCTCCTGTGAGTTGGAAAAGCATTTTGACAAATTTCACTGGCCGAAGCCCTCGATAGAACCAGTACCTGGATGCCAAAAGTGTGAGGATTGCGGTCTGTACTTTGGCAAAAGCCTATACTCGAAGCACCGGATTCGTTATCACGATAGGCTTGGTAGCAAACACATTTGCTACAGGTGTGGCCTAGAATTCCAGTGCAATGGATATTTGATCGATCACCTGAAGTTCGAACATAGGGAGCAGTCAAAGCAGAACGTTGACTTGTCATCAACAGAAGACAAATACAGATACCGTTTAGCCCGAAGCGGAGCAGAATCAATCGAATGACTCATTCGTAGATGCTTGTTTGTATGCTGATGTGCGTTCGCGTTGCAAAAACTCTAGATACATAAACTTTGTCGCGGCAAGCATGGTTTCAGTTTTGCCACAAGTATTTCAGGACTATTTCTTGTTCGGTGCTACTTAGCGATGCCCATATCCTTGGTTTATGTGCTGTGGATTTTACACATTTCAATAAGTTGAAAACTTCTCGCAAATTGAAAAATCAAACAACGGAAACTTGCGTTTTTTTGCTCACACGCACTCACGTTCAGTTTCACCTAAGTATGCTCAGCTCATTTCATTGTTTTGGCTACACAGGCGAGGGGCTGATAGAATTGAATTGACACCAAAAAGAATATTTGCATACTTGAAAAAGCGGGAGACTTTTACTATAGGAAATATGGTTTTCTGAAATACTCCGTGAAATTGTATGCGAGTTTATACGAGAAATGTTTATACGAGATTAGGCTAGGGCAAAAATTGAAAGAGAAATTTTTGAGAATTGAATTTTGTTCAGTGCAGTTTTCCAACACCTATGTCGGCCCTGTTCATATTTTACACTTGAACATAGACCACATTTGTAAAATGTGATATGTCAAATACATGTATCTGTTAGTTTTGTTTAGATTTATACAAATTGCCAACAAGAGTTTTTTTCTAATACAGTTTTCTTCCCATGCCTTTCAGCTAGATTTTGAACTGGATCATATTGCCAGAAGGTAAGAAATTTGGTTTTTATTGCATATTGACTATTGCTGGTTTAACTGAAGGGATATGTCATTTAATTTTGGTTATCGCACAGCAAGGGTTAGCAGGATTGCCCAACTGTGAGCAAAGCCCTGAAAAAACGGACTGCACATAAATTTAACCCATTAGTTTGGTAAAACAAAAGTTTGGTAGATTTATGAATAAACCAAAAAAGGTATAAGAAAAGAATGTTCATTTCTTTAGGTCCTATAGTTTTTTTTCTAAATGTCCTTTTGTGAATTGTCTTTCGATTTTTTTCTAGCCTCAAATCAAATTTGATTTCATGTAAAAATCATTGGATTACGCTTTTTATACACAAAAGAACTGACTCACATGTTTTCAAGTTGAGTTATTTTTTATAGATTTTAAAAATTGTTTTACAGAGGAATTCAAAACAGCGAAGGGAATGCTTTGTGTATTTCACAACTGAGTCTTTTTGATCATCAGTCCCCTTTTTAATCCGTCGTTCGACGAAAGGGAGGAATATATAAGCTCGGGTGGTTTTTTATGCAGACCAATTTTAGAAAACTCTGGTCCCTCGGCTGATCGATGGGACCAAGTTAACGTCCCCGCAAGCCGTTTAGGGGGAGAATTTTAATTTGGTTTTGAGTTCAAATTTTCAGCCAATCAGTATATAGCATATTTCACGCAGCACTTAAAAAAATCAATTTAAAGTCAACGCTGGGGTGGAGGATCTTAACTTGGTCTATTTTGGAGGGGGTTGGGGAAAGGGAATGTTAACTTGAGCCGCTCGATCTCTTGATCTGCATTGGCCCAGTCTGGTGTGCAAATTTTATAGTGATCTGCAACGTTTGACGCTTAAAGCGCAACGCAATTTATTTATGCGTGGCGAATTATCCCACCGTGCAAAATCGATTCAAATTAATTTGAGAGAACTAATCGGTCTTATTAATTCCATCCTCTACTCAATTCTTAACACTTAAAATTTGATATAATCAGCCTAATTGTATAGTTTTGCGAATTTTCAATTTACTAAAAACTAGTCAAGACCAATTAAGGAGCAGTCTGAACTTTCAGGGCTTTGGCTTGATACGAGCAGTCTTGTTGTTCCGACTTTCCAAGAAAGTTAGAAGATGTGTGCTCGTGTTTTTTTTTCATTTAGACCAATTCTCAACAAAATTTACCTCGGGGGATAGAGAGAGAGGGGGGCACTTCATGGTTGGGGGTTACGTGGGGATGGGTAAACGTGAGGGTGGTACGTCGTGGGTTGGGGGTACGTTGAGCGGGGGGGGGGGGTACTGGAACCTGATCTAAACTACATTTTATGATTGGATAAATTAGATATTTTACCAATGTAAAGTATTTAATATTAACCAATCATGATCCATCTAACTAACAACCCACTTATTTTTAAGTGCTGAAATTACTTGTAATTTCAGCACCAGAGAGATTTGAATTTAACTTAGAAATTAGTTACCTCTCCTCGAGAACTTCAGCAGCCGCATTAAAACCAGTATACTCTAGATGTATTGAGCCTAGCAGAGTCTAGTTAAACACCCTGAGACTAGTAGATATAAGAGTAAGATTAGGATCGGTATTAGACTAAAAAGTTGCACGAATCTATCCGGCCGAAAATAAGATAGCGTGACGAGCAGATGAT